GAAGGCCTCTATGGAGCTAGCCATCCCCATGCTTGAGGTATTCCCACCCCACCCCAGGCCAAGTGGCAGAACCAGGTCTTCAAATCCCTCTGGAAGGCCAGGAGTGTGGGGGCTAATCACACCTCCGGGGGCGGAATGTTCCAAAGAGCGGGGGCCACCCCAGAGAAGCCCCGCTTTCTGGACCCCGCCAGTCGAAGTTCTTTCACTGAGGGGGTCCGAAGCATGCCCTCTCTGTGTGACCGGGTGGGACGGATTGAAGTCATAGGGGAGAGGTGGTCCCTTAGATAACTTTATTTATTTATTTATCATATTTATATAGATGCCCATCTCACACAAGGTGACTCTGGGCGGCATACAACAATTAATGTGCTGTTCCATGCAGTTCTTCAGATGAGCATTAGAACTCCAAATGTCTTAAGCAGGAAAAGTCAGGCTTTGAATGTTAGAATCATATTAGAGAGGTTTAGGACATTAAGTGTCCACATTCTCCTCTTATTGACACAATAGCTTGAAAAACTACCTTGTATAGTTTTTCTTCTGACCATTAGATTTTTTGTTTGTTTGTTTGTTCAAAGGCTTTTTTTTTTTTATCAAAGTTGAACGTTCAGCTGATACTTGTAATGTAGGAGAGAAGCTGTGTTTAATTTAACTTCCTATTTCTGTTTTTGTATTTGATCTGTGCAGCAGCAACATTTAATTGAACTGATTCGGCAGCGGGAGACTGAAGCTGCTCTGGAGTTCGCTCAGACTCAGTTAGCAGAACAAGGAGAAGAGAGTCGGGAGTGTCTGACGGAGATGGAGCGCACGCTTGCTCTTCTTGCTTTTGATAATCCAGAGGAATCCCCTTTTGGAGACTTGCTCAACATGATGCAGAGGCAGAAAGTAATTACTAGTTATGGAACTAAAATTACATATTGCAGGACTCTAATTGCTGGTGCATTTACGTTTATCTCTTGGTGTGTTATGGAGAATAGGTAGCTTTTTATCATTTTTCATAGCAGACTGAGATTACGGTTTTTTTGTGTTTTTTTTTAAGTGCTTGCTCAATCAGCTAAATTGCTCAGTTAATCAACTAACATTTTAACTCATCATTTGTGAGGGTTCAAGTTGATTCGTGAGGCAAAGATGGCTGGGAGTGGCAAACGTAAAGAGGATATTACTGCCTACTTTTCCAATAGATGGTCATATCAATAATAATAGAGAATCTTACCATGATAGAGGGTTTCATGGTATCCGCCACCAATGGAACCGCATACACCTGCAGAATAAACTCTTCTATCACGTTATGTCTCACTCACTATCACTAGCAGGTTTGGGGGAAAGAGATGCAAAGCAGATTGTGGATGAGGAAGAGATAATGAAGAGGAAAATCTTTTGAGCAGATGCAGCTGGATTGTGTACATTCTTTATTTCCAATAAAGCACCTGCTCATACTCAGTCAAAAGCACGCTTGCTTTAATCCAGAAGCCTTTTCTTGTTTGTTTGGAAGATGCTACTGCGGGAGCTTTTTTTTATTTTAACTATTTGGGGAATGAATCTTTAAAGCTTGGCATTAATGAATGCCTCTGCGGTATCTTATTCTTCAGGCTTTGCCAGACCCTAACCTTTTTTAGGCTGTGTTTAATTTACAAAGCGGTGTCCGCTATCCTCAATCCACCCAGCTATTTCGTTAAGGTCTCTATATTGCAGATGGCCGTCAGAATTTCATACTGTGAAGCCCATGATGGAAAATGCGACCCTCCAGGTCAAAATCAATAGTAACTGGATAACACTGGGTCACTGTAACACAGAAATACGTGTTACTAATCGAAGTTGCTTGTCTCTCTTTCTAGGTGTGGAGTGAAGTTAACCAAGCTGTGTTAGACTATGAAAATCGTGAGTCAACCCCCAAACTGGCTAAATTACTGAAGCTACTACTGTGGGCTCAAAATGAGCTGGACCAGAAGAAAGTAAAATATCCCAAAATGACAGATCTCAGCAAGGGGACAATTGAGGAACCCAAGTAAAATGTGCAGATGGACACTAAATCTCACAACTGCACAGTTATATGCATTTTTAATCAGTCTGTGACTGAAATATTTTTACTACAGTTCAGGACTTTGCAATTTGGTTGTGTGTTTTGTTTCTCTCCTTGGCAAGCATACTTTTAAAGGGAAGGGGTCCCTTTTTAAATGCAGCAAACTGGCATTGGAAAAGCATTACATCACTCTGACCATCTGACTTAGGCTACGCACTGTCATATTTTTTAGCCAAATACCAGGTTCTTTTTTAAATACTGAGCTGAAGGTTTGCAGTGTCCGGCCGCTGAAACAGATTTTGGTGGCCGGTGAATTAATGTTAAAACTCTTGGCAACTCTCCAGTTAAAAAATCTGTTTTTCACTTGAACATGGACTTATTTTCTGTGTTAATTTATAGCCAAATATGCATTCCCTATTTATAAGCTAGCAATTGGTTAAAGTGATCATTTTGTAAACTTCCTGGCCGTGTTGTTTTCTGCATAGACTATAGTATAGAAAGCTTGTAAGCTGTAACTGAAAATAACTGCCCTTGCTTTTCACACCTTGGTGACTTATTTATATGGGGCTGAATGTTATATTCATGATGGGCCTAGTTCTCTCAGAAGTGTTGCTAAAAATAAAAGCATTTTCTTTTGTAGTTTTCAAGAATGACCAAAATAGCCTCTGAAGAACGACATTAAATCGCATTATAGTTAGGCGTTCTTTCCCCAGAGTTTTATTTTTGTTCCATTTCTTAATACCAGTTGCAGTCATTATACTGCTTGGGGTGATAGTTGCAGCCTTAAAGCCAGTAATATATTTATGGATGGTATGAAAGATGGAAATAATGTTAGCCATTCCCAGTAAGAAGAAATAGCTTAATGTAGACCCACTGGAATAGTATAAACAGGGGCTATAATTTTTAAATGATGGAATTATTTTAACAGTTTCTTATCTTGGGTAAATAGCACTCTGACTTTACAAATCTCCTCCCTAGAGCTCCCATCTTTATGGTGGGGTATTGTTATAATGATTAGGATTTATTTCTGCCCCTGTTAAAGACCCCGTAATTCCGTGAGTTATGTCTTACTCAATTGCTGCATTGCAGTCTCCTTTTTGGATGGTCAATATCATGCAAGGCTGTTTTAAAAGCATCATTCCCCTATTTGGCTGGTAGTAATAAGTGCTAACCTGACCGGTTTCAAGATTATCATCCTGCAACTAAATCAATTAAGTCGTCTCCAAGCCTGGGTATCTAAAGTAGCCAAGCCGTTTACGTTACTGCTACCTAGCAGCAATCCCCCTTTCTGTGCTCATTTTACACAGGAGTACCTTTCTGGTGGATGGGAAAATACATAGAGTAGCCATCTAGGAGCAGCCTCCTAATGCTTGGTGGGTAAATGAGCAATCTATAGAATGCAAACGTTTGGCTTTCGGCAAGTTTGTTGCTACTGCAGTTGCTTGGTGTAATCAATCTTTGCATAGGCCACCAGAAGCGTCTCTATATTCCTCCTAGAAACAATTGAGACTGACCCAGGAAGGCTTCCTGAGGAAGATAAAGGTTATGTACTTGTATGCAGCTAGATTCTGGATGAGGCCAATGGGTAGACTAGTGTTACAGTAGTTCAAAGATAAGATGGCACTTGTGTTTTGCACTGATGCTTGTACAACTTATCATCAGAGAGAAAGCTCTGACAGAACATTCTTAACATTTTTGGAGATCTCTCAACATGGGATTGATTGCCACTGCTTTTAGTGTCCCGGATTGCTTTATTCCTGAGAAATGTTTCCTAATGACTCGGCCTGATAAGTTCTTTTAACTGACTGAGCACAGCTATGCTGAAAGTCATAAGGTCTAGGCCTTCTTCAAATATGACCAATTTATCTTTCCTTTCCTAGCAGTGTAGAAAGTTTAAAGGATCAGCTTTCAGTGTGACATTGACCAACAGTTGGTTTCTCCACCAGAAATCCTGTGTGGCAGCCATGTTTAAGAGGCCTCCTTTCTGTTTAGAGCATTGTGTTTAAGCCATGGCTGCATAATAACTGGAATTTACACTATTTTGTTTAAGAGCCAAATATGCGATACAACTATGACAATTTAGATAATGGGTATTAATTTGGTTTTTGTTAAAACATCTCACACTGAAGCAGCTTTAATCTGTAAAGGTTTTTGGGGGGTAACGTTAGAGAAGAATATTTAAAATGGTATGAAAGAAAGCTATGCATTTTACAGAGCGTGCAAGGGTGTAGTCCCCGTGGTACTTTTAGGGATCTTTATATTCACATGTATATAAAATAGTTTGCATATACAAATTATAATATAATCAATTTGAATTATTCTCAGATGGGGAGGGTGTAAAATATAACTTATGAAAATATTATTCACAAAAAAACACAGCCCTCACTACATAAATGAATTTTTGTCATACACATGAAAAATGTCTTACTTAGTGGCTGTGAAAAATGGTTGCAATTTATCTCCATAATGTTAGATCGCCACTCTTAACTGCTTAGCATTAAATACGACTTTGATCAATACATTTCACATTTGGTTTTTCTTCTAGTTTCTTCTTATGAACCTCTTTGTAGAAATAATGTTTCAGAGAATGTAAGTGTTCTAAATCACTCCTATCACTGTGAGTAATTTTTGCAGTCCACGTGGAGTAGATTTATATTTTGTGTACTTTGCGTGTGTTTTTGAAGGGTGTGCAAAACATTTCAAATTCAAAATGTTTTGAGTTCAAAGTGGATTGTTCTAGCTACTCCAGAAGGGATCCAAGTTTGAAAGGTAGGCTCAACTTTCACAGCAACATACATAAATAACATAAAAATAATGCTGATTTGTGTGGGTTTTTTTGGGAAAGAGCCATGCTTAGTAGGACAATTTTTGGAATGAATTAAAATGAGGCAAAGCAGCACATCTTAAAGGTAATGTTCATGTGAAGTAGTAAATTAAGAGATTGTAGAGTTTCCCTTCTCTTCCAAGATTGTGGCTGTTACAATATTTTGGATCCAGACATGCTTTTGACAGATAGAAAGCTCCCTCTGTCTGTAGGAAGCAGCCCGACACGAGGCAGGCTTATTTCTGAAGAAAGAGAGAGAGATGTTCATTTCATGTACCCTCCAGAACTGACTTTCAGGAATTTGCTAGGAGGGCAATAGTAGCAACATGGAGAATCCCTTCCTCCATCCCAGTTCTTGACTTTAAAGCAATCTTTGTGTAATTGTGGTGCATTTATCATTTGGAAAATAAACCATATTAACCCTATTTGAATATGAGGTTGAAAGATGATTGTGTGCTTTAACTTCTGGTACATTTGTGGCAGAGGTGAGTTGGACTAGATTTACACACTGCCCTAAGCCTTTATATGGTTGGTTGGTGGTTAATTTGTTTTTGGATTAGTATGATGTATGAATTCTACCATTGCGGTCTGAAAACTGTGGTTTAAGACAGCATTGTGTCTGAAATACTTTTATGCCTTGTTCATCTAACCTAGGTAAAACAAACCATGTGTGTTCAGTGTAGTCATTACCTAACAATATGCCATGCTAACATTTTCAAAATAGTATTTAAGACTTCTGTAGTCAAGAAATAAAACAGGCACAGAAAGCTAGAAATAACAGTACTCCCTAATTTTGTAACAAATCCAACATTCTTAGTATAAATACCTTTAGAACTAGTTTATAGGCTATTAAGTTATTTTTATTTATGCTAGGTATTACTAAAAAGTGAAGACAATTTTGCAGGCCTTGATTCTTAGTCCTCGAATAAGCAAAAAAATAAGAATTTTTCTCTTTTTTACTCTATTTTCTAATGCATATTCTTTGTTTTTATCAAAACCTCCCTTCCTTGTTGAGGAATTATTTCTTTAAGTAAAAGAAGATAATTGGTCAAGAAGAGATGTGGGTATGGAAGTAATACTGTACATTACTGCAAATGGATCCCTTACAATAAAAGAAATAGGTTCCAAAGGAATAGGCTTGTTTTGTTGGAAACTGGGAAAGATGATGTGCAAATATTATTAACGTTAATATGTAGCTCTTCTCAAAATGGAAAATATATTACCGAGTAACCGAGTCAGTTTAAGTAGGTTTCTGGCATCTAGAATTTGTTTTATGTCTTCACTCAGTTTCTTCTCAAGGATCTGTAATATGAAAGTTAAACCTTTACTTTTTGCAGGCAGAATAGAATATTCAGTTTTAATACTCTAGCTTATATTAATATTCACATATTAAAATATTTTGGGGGATCATCTTAATGTCGTTGTGGAATTGTGAGGGCCTGGTGGAGGCTGTCTCCCAAAAAAGACTGCCATGTCAGGAGACTTCCAAATTCACATACTGACCGCCACAGTGAGTCACAAAAATTCCATTGACCAGATGGCGACCCACTGAGGGAGGCTCCCTACCACTTTCTCCCCAACAAGTTTTCGATCTAGCCTCCCTTTGACCTTTTTCCTGGGCAGACATCTCTCCCCCATAGAAAACCCTGGACTGACACCACTCATCTTTCTTTCTTTCTTTCTTTCTTTCTTTCTTTCTTTCTTTCTTTAAACTACATATGGTGCTCAGAGGCATTTTTGTAAAAAGACAATTCTAGGATCTTCAGCGTTGATTTGTAAAATTTGTTTTATTTGTAAGTAACTTGTAAGATTTCTATACTATCTTTCCTCCAAGCGCTCAAGGCAACCCCTCTTGCCTCCAGTGTTATCTGCGTAACCAGCACCACTTGGGTGCGCTGAATGAGACAGAGTGATTGCTCAAGGTCACTGAGCAAGCCACCATGGCTGGGGATGGGTTTGAACCTGGATTGTTTCTCTCCATGCCTGTCCTGTCAAACATCCAAACCACTGTGTCAACATGTGTTTTGTTTTGATTTTTTTGTTAAAATCTTTAAAATCATGGAACAGGGATCCTGGTTGGTGCCAAGGAAGGTATTCATGGCACTGTATTTCTAGTCCTTCCTGCAAAATTTCAGCATAGCTGCTGCTAGGTAAGTTAATTTATCACATAAGTTTGAAAGTGCAAAACAAGTAGTACCTTAAGGGACTTCATAGCACCGAGTACAAAAAAATGTCTCTAAGCATAACGGAAGCTTAAAATGAAATTGGAAAACAAAGACTCGTCGTGCCTCATGCTCAGTGCAATCTAATTGATGGCTGGGTTTGCATAACACATAAAAAGATGCTCTCAAGTCAAGCTTGACATTTGGTGACTGAATCAACGCAGTTTTCTTGGCAGTGTTACAAAAGTAAATTTGTCATTGCATTCCAGGATGTGTTTTCGACTTTCTAGCCTAGCCTTAGAATTCCCAAGTAGTCTCTCGTCCAAACACTGACTGGCTCCAACCCTGCCTTGTTCCTGAGACCAGCCAAGGGCAGTTTTGTCCTGCAATCTGGTGAGGAACATAACAGATTTCAGGCTGATGTGTTTTGAATTTACAATTTGAATCACCTCCAAACTAAGGAGAAATAACTTTTTTTTTTACTGCTTTATTGCCCAACTGGAAACAGAAAACCTTGTTTCACTAAATTATGGGACAACAGTGCCTTGCATTTGATAGGTAAGAAATCAAGAAAGACAGAGAAAACTAAAGTCTCCCCTCCCTCTTCTCCTGAGGTAGAGATACCTGCTGACCTCCCAGCATAACTGACAACTTCAGCTAAGTCCGGTTATATTCAAGGGGGAGAGAGGGGAGGGGGAAAAAACCGAGTTCTCCTGTCTACAAGCAGTTTCCCATAACATTCAAACTTTTTGGGTGACTGAATTTATGCAGGAAAAAACTGGTGATTCATATGAAACAATTATTCAGCTTGTCAATTTCGATAAACAACAGGCAACAGATGTGTCAAAGATTTTGAAAGTAAAGTTCTTCAGGGTGAAGTCCATTTATTTACTGTAGTAGTAATTTACATTTTTAAAATACTTCTTATCCCACTGAGCAAGATCAGTCTATAGCAGCTTTCATCTAAAAATTGAGAGATTTAATCACAGGGTTGTAGTATAAATGTGAAACGGAAGCTACTTATGAATTTATTTTTCCATTTGGCTCAAAAACCTTGTGAAATTCCTAAAATGTACAGTGTACCTTATTTTAAACTTGTAATGAAAGCAAAGAAGATAATGGCTTTAGATGGGTCAAATGTCATTGGATCCCACCATACTAGACAACTCTAACCTCCCTTTTTTGGGTAAGGTGGTTGAGAAGGTAGTTGCACAACAGCTTTAGAGGGCCTTGGATGAAGTGGATTATCTGGATCCTATTAGTCAGGATTCAGATCCAGGTATGGGACAGAAACAGAATTAGTCACAATTTTGGATAATCTCTGGTGTGGGTGGGATGGAGATTCTACATTGCCCTACTTGACTTCTCAGTGGCTTTCAATGCCACCAACCATGGTATCCTAGATCAGCTTGGGGGACTGTGCTGGTTTGCCTCCTTTCTCCAGGGTTGATTCCAGTCGGTGATGACTGGGGAGAGATCCTGCCCTCGGCCCCTACTGTGTGGGGTGCCGCAGGGTTCGGTGCTCTTCCCTTTCCTATTTAATAAGTACATGAGATGCTGGGTTTGCTCATCCATTGCCATGGGGTGAGGTATCATCAGTATGCTGATGATACCCGACTATACAACTCTGCCCCTGGAGAATTAAGTGATGCTGTGCATGTCTTATCCTGGTGTCTGGAGGCTGTGAAGGTCTGGATGGGGAACAACAGGCTTCAACTGAACCCTGGCAAGACTGAGTGGCTTTGGATTTGGGGTCCTGCCAGTTCTGGAACTATACCATCTTTGATGCTGGATGGGGTGGCACTGCCCCAGACAGACCTGGTGCACGATTTGGGGGTGCTCCTAGACTCATGACTCCTGCTCAAAGAGCAGGTGACAGTTGTGGCTAGGAGGGCCTTTGCACAGCTTCATGTTGTGCACCAATTGCTAGATCAGGAGATTCTGCTCACGGTCACTCATGCCCTGGTCACTTTCAGATTGGACTCCTGTAATGTGCTCTACATGGGGATGCCCTTGAAGAGTATCTGGAAGCTTCAACTGGTACAGAATGAGGTGGTACGGGCAGTTATGTGTGCTCCTAGAAGAACACACATTACACCTCTGCTTTGCGAGTTGCATTGGCTGACTCTTTGCTTCTGGGTCCAATTCAAGGTGCTGGTTTTGACCTTTAAAGCCCTTCATGGCAAGTTATCCGCCTCTTCCCAATCACATCAGCCCGTCCCATTAGATCTGGCAGGGAAGGTACACTACACATTCCATCGGCCAGGGACTTGCATTTGGTGGGTCCCAGGAGGGGGACCTTCTCTGTTGTGGTTCCCTCCTTGTGGAACAATCTCCCCCTGAGGTGAGGCTGACCCCTTCCCTGCTGTCATTTAGGAAGCCCTTCAAGACCTGGTTGTGTCATTAGATCTGGGGGTCTTTGGGAACCGGGGACATTCTTAGATGGCTCCACTGTAACTGATACTCTGCTCTCTCCATGGGGTTTGTATATGCTAAAATCTAAAAATTTTTAAATTTTTGATAATGTTTTCATTTTAATAATGAAATACTTTTTATCTGTTTATAATGATCGTTTTTATCCATTTGTTATTTTATTTAATTGTTGTAGACGGCCCAGAGTCACTTTGTGTGAGACAGGTGGCTATATAAATGTGACATATAAATAAATGAAATGTGGAATCACTGGAATCGTTTACACACCATTCAAAAGAGACAATAAAGAACCTAAGAAGGAAACAGACCAGAACACATCCTCTTCAGCAGCCAACACTCAGATTAGCAGGGATCAACACCCGACAAACAAGCAGAAAACGATACCGTAATCAAGGAACTACCAAGGAGGAAACCACACCCCCACCCAAACTGGCAGGGCAAGCTACTGCATATAAACAGGGAGCAAACCCCACCCTCACCAGCACTGATGATGATACCTAGTTGGGTAATGAAACATCTGCAATCAAAGAACCAAGCTCAGAGAGCACCAAGAACTCCACAGTTCAACCATGGGCTACACATATTCTCTTCTATTGGAATCACATTTAATGGAATTTTAATGGAATCCCATTAAAGCCTGTTTGTCACCTGAACAAAAAAAGGATGAAGTCTTTTTTTCTTTCTCTGGTGATGCTTTTACATATCCTTGAAATAGTTTTATGACCTGTCTGGTGCTGAAAAGTTAGTATCTTTTTATTTATTTATTTTTTTCAATTTTTTAGAGAGGTATAGGCCAATACGGTTTGACAATGAAATTCTTGTATGGCAATTTCAGTATGTTCCTTCTTCAGTTCTAGTATAATTTTTGTTTTAATGTTTGGCTTTTGCCTCATTTTTGTTTTATCCTTACTCTTTCCATAGTTTGGCACAAGCCATAACATTTTTAAAGCAATAGCTGAAGTTGAACACAAATTGTTATATGGCAATGGATTATCAACATTTATGGATGTTGTGCAACAGCTTAATAATTTATCAAATTGGAGTTAATCTCATATACTTTCTGTAATGTTAATATCTCTATGAAAAAATATTTGGAGTTGTAATTGTGGGATTCTTTAAAAAAATCTGGAATGTTTATTTCAAGAAAAATTCATTTCTGGATGTAAACATAGCTATTTTAAATCTCAGATATAATTGCATAAATAGATGGTTAAAAAAACCCATTAAAGATAAATGTGAAGATGAAAATTACTTTAAGACTATAATACTTAGAGGTATTCCTAGATTAATACATTTATTTTAAGCAGTTCAATATATTATTGAATTTTTTTTTCATAGGAAAAACAGCCCCCTAGCTTTTATCTAAATTATGGCTATTGTATGATGACAGGGATTTTAACTTTCCTGACCTTTCCAATCAGGTTTTTGGTTTTTTGTCTTAAAAAAAACCAACACTATGGCCACAATTAGAAAGCCAATATTGGATTCCTTTGACGACATAGCAACGACTTGGCTCCATTTCAGCCATTGTAACTCAGCTTTATTGTACTTTCTGTACTAGAGTCTGCAAGGCACATTTAGAAGGCGTTAGGACAGAAAAATAACTTCTACCTTTATTTACTTGTCAGGCCTGCACTCTAGGATTATCCCAGTTTGAAAATTGCAGGTAATATTTTTGTGTCAGTCTTTTGATTATGTGCCATCTAGTGGTTGTCAATTCCTAGTGATCACATAAATTTTCCCCATGATAATCTATCCCCAACCTGGTCTTCCAACAGTGCCCCCATCACCCTGTAACTGAGTCCATCCCCACTGCTGCTGGTCATCCTCTTCTTCTCTTGCCTTCCACCTTTCCCAGCATCAGAGCCTTCTCCGGAGAGCTGGGTCTTTGCATAATGTGTCCAAAGTAGGATAATTTGAGGCTGGTCATTTGTGCCTCGAGTGAGAACTCTGGGTTGATTTGTTCAAGGATCCATCAGTTTGTTTTCTTGGCTGACCACAGTATTCTCTTGCCTTCCACCTTTCCCAGCATCAGAGCCTTCTCCGGAGAGCTGGGTCTTTGCATAATGTGTCCAAAGTAGGATAATTTGAGG